AATACACGTCCAATGATAAATCCACATTTTATTCAACACCAAGTTGGTATTACACAAACACGACGTCCACGGTTTCCACACCCCATACTCAACCGTCGACTCATTATTCTACACCATTTAGTTCAACATCAAGTTGGAATTCACTGCCTGGAGTCTCACATTCAACTCCAACTTATACGTATTCTGCGTCGTATGGTAAAACAAGTTCGCTAACATATTCTACACCACTTGGTTACACTACAAATTGGTCTCCTACATACTATCATACAAGCCCAATATCCACAGTTTCCAACCCGTATACAACCTCTTATTTTTCGTTCCCCATAACCTCATACTCCACTCCAACTTATACGCAACCCACCTCTTATGTCGAGTCAAGTTTTTATTCATCTCAATATTCCGCTCCATTAACCTCGGCACCAACTTGGAGTTCTATGACATCAACATCCACAGAATCCGTTCCTTGCACTGAGTCAACTTCGTATTCCACACTTAACAGCGCACAATCAACTTCCAATATTGACTCAACTTTGTCAGCTACTTCAACTACTTATTCTAGTCCAACTTTTTCGGAACCTATTATTTGTACAGAGATTTATAAACCAGTATGCGCATATAACGGAGATTGTTTTAAAGATTTCGGAAATGAATGCCAAGTTAATGTTGCAAATGAACAGCTTCCTGTAAGATCAAGGAGTAAGTACTCATTAAAAATATTTTTGTCATATGTATGTATTCTCATACAAAACTCCTTTGGTACTTTTTGGAAGAATATCATATCGTAGCACAAGGAAGATGTGAAGACCATGAGCACTTTCACAGTAGATTGTGCAATTGCAATATTTCTTGTCCATATATAGATGATCCAGTTTGTGCATTCAATGGCAAATCTTACAAGACCTTTTCGAATTCTTGTGTTCTGAATAATTACCATTGTAAAAATCGTCATCAGCGTAAGCTAATATTTGAGTTAGTTTATAACAACATTTTTATTAATTCTATTTCGTTTACTATTTTTAGCATACGTTTCAATGTACAAAGGCAGATGTGATGGTCGTTTTGCTAATAAAAGTTGGAATTATTAAAACTTAGTTAAGTTATTGTAAAAATTTGTATATTTCCAGTATGTAATTTTGGAAAGATAGCAACATTCATATTAACAATAACTGCTTAATTACTTCTTCAAATGATGTAGCAATGTGATTATAAAGTTAAAAGTCCACAAATTCTAGTTCTGATCAGGGTTTTTGTTTTGAAAGACGGAAGAGAGAAAAGTATGTTGAAAAGAGAATCGTCCGTGTGAATAGTAACCTGAAATACATTTAAAATAGACAAAAACTAAGCCACCGGAATATAAGTCACGTAAAATTTGAAACCCAGAATTTTTAGATTTTACCACACAAGTTCTAGGCTTTGTGATTCCGTCATAAAAATTGTCAAAAACTAATATTCTGGGAAAGAACGCATGTACGTGTGTTACTTGCAGCTGTTATAAAATAAAAATAGAGTTAAGATATTATAAATTAATTTTTTATTGTTATAATTTATTTCGGCTATTATTGAAAAACTATACTTAAAAAGAAAGTACAATCGTACAAAAGTAAGACCAAAGGAAGCTCATTTCTATATTTGCTTTATCTAAAAAACCTTTCTTTACCAATACAATTCTCCGAAAATATGATGCTTAACAGATAAAGAGTTTAACAATTTTTTCCCAAACTGAGGTACAATGGAATCTCTTCAACTAAACAAAAATTATAAAGCTTGTTAAAACTTTTCAATAATATGCCACAAAAGCGTTTTCAAGAAAACTCCGAAAACAAAAGTAGTAAAGATTTTTCAGCAGTATGCGACGTAAGATCGATACATGGCTTTTTAGGACTTTGCGGAATTCATTTCTAATCAATTTGTTGGACAAATACTACAGAGATTTCTAAGAATTCTACAATAATACAAGTTTTCTTAAGGCCCATTTAAAACTTTTTAGGGGACTTAAAATTCCGGAGGGCCGCTTGATCAAATCTCTGGGAAAAATTTGTATGTATTCGAAATATTTTTAATAATAAAACAATGATCACAATTGTTCAATTTTTTAGGCACTAGGCAATTTCTCTTTTAAAATCAAAATAAATTTCAAACAATCATCTGATTTGCCAAATTTGGAATCCCTAATATTCTCCTCTATCTATAATTTTGTTTAGAAGTTAGAGTTTTTCAAAAGAATTCCCTGAATTTAATAACAAGGGGTCATTATTAAGCGTCGTTGGTTAATTATTTTAAACCATAAAAAGAAACGGAAAATATTTTCGGAATATGGCAGACTTTTGGGTTGAATTTTTTAGTTACTATGGTAAAAAACTAAATTACATACATATATTAAATCCCTAATGACATATCGACAATCATATTGAAGATTTCGAGATGATTATAGTCTTGACATTTTACCAAGCGTCAATTATAATATATTCGACTCCTAATTTTAGTTAATAAAATAAAACGTACAGTCAGGCTATTGAGAACCAATATTCAACCTAATCAAAATTAAAATAAGACAGAAATTGTTGTTACCTACTTGTATTATTGAAGTTAAGCAAATACTAATTTATCTAAATACATCTGTATCGATTTTTAAAATATGTATACGTTCGTTAAGCATATACAAACATTATAATTCTAAATATTTGCTTAAAAATTCATAGAATCAAAGAACGATACTCTTCAGTTTTAGAAAACGATATAGAACTTGAACCCAGAGGTTCTACACATTCTGAAATTAGCGAAAACATTAACACATCCACACTTTTAAATTAAATACTAATTTTAGATTTTATATTGAATTCTTAAACTTTGAATATAAGGTCAAATATACGTCAATGGAAACTAATATCACAAGTTACAAATATTTGAAACAATATTTTGGTTAATATCAATTTAAATTGTTTTATTATAAAATTGAAAATTAAATCAAAAGATTCCCAATTTATAATAATGAGTTTGCTGTTTCTGAAATTTTAAATAAAATTTACATGCATATACTCTCCTTTAATATTCATATTTGATATTTGATCAGTTTATGTTTATTTTTGCATGTTTTCATGTTATTAGAATAAAAGTTTGTTGATATTACCGTTATATAAATTTGCGGTGTTTTACTAAAATAAACTCAGTCTTAAAAATTTATTAGTAAAATATAGGAGCGAAAATAAAAATTTTATTTGCTAATTTCTTTTTTAATATTTTCGTTTTCCAAAATGGGTTCACTTATTTTAAAATTGTTTTTCTTCATTAATTTAAGTAAGTTTTGTTTAAATCTTCACATCTAAAGGCTTTATAAGGACTTCATAATAAAAAAATTATATAAATTTATTTTATATTCCGTATAGGTTTTTCGTTTAGAGAAATTTTTGCTACAACCCCTACAACTACTCCAACTACTACCACTCCTACAACTACTCCGACACCTCCTACAACTACTCCAACTCCTCCTACAACTCCTTCAACACCTCCTACAATTCCTCCAACCCTTCCTCCTCCATTTACAACAAGTTATCCATATACTCCTCTTATTACTTGTCCCGGTCATTATTATTGCCCAGAAACACATCATCCAGTTTGCGCATACAACGGAGATTGTTTTAAAACTTTCAATTGTCAACATGACGTTGATGAGGCCAATGCACAATTGCCAATAACATCAAGAAGTATTCAATGAAATTATTTTTGTCATAGATTTATAAAAATTATATTATGTTTTTTTTTGTATTTTAATTTTTAGAATACTATATTGCAAAGGAAGGAGCTTGTGAAAATTATGAATATTTCCAAAGTAGATTATGTACTTGCAATTCTATGTGCACACTTATATATGATCCCATTTGTGCATTCAACGGTGATTGTTACAAAACATTTTCGAATACTTGTGATCTTAATTATTATAACTGTAGAAATCGTTACCAACGTAAGTATTACTTAAATTAAAAATAACCAATATCATTTTCTTAACATAAAATTAATTTATTTCTAGCATACGTTGCTTTGTACAAAGGTGAATGTCACGGATGTTCTGTGCTTTATTAAAAATCTAATAAACTTCGAAATTATCCACATTTTATTAAGCTTAATATACAAAATAAATATATTTTAGTGCTGATTTTGAAAAAATTGCTAATTTTAATATATTAACAATAATTAGTTGTGTTCTTTATTGATAATTCCCTTTATTGAATTCTGCATGGTTATCAAATCCTGTTCCCACAAATAGTACATATAACATTCCAACTATACCCTCCTGCACAAAGCGATGACTGATAGCAGTAGTTACGCTTATTTTTACGGTCCACTAAACTCGAAGGAGTTTTGAGTACATACTTTATTTCCTTAAATGTAAGGCACAAAATATAATTCACCTATGAAACAATGACTCATTAATATTGAAAGTGACTAATAATAATTTGCATGGTATCTACTCTACATACACAAGAGTCTGTTACGCTATAGCTATAATAACAATATGACCTAAGCAATAGAAGCGATAAACTTTCAGAATATTTGTAAAATATGTTTAAAATAAAATTAACACAAACAAAGTTAAAAAATTTACAAAAATAATTTTTTTTTGTTTTCACTAAGTAAATATTTTGAATTTGCCGGAAAATTTCAAATTTTTTTTATATTTTATTTATATTTTGTTATTGAAACAGCAGTGTTTGAATGAAATTGAAATTGTTTTTTTTTGTTCTTTTTAATTTTTTGTCTTAGGTCAAACACATGGTAATCTAAAATAAGTCACTATTTTAGAATTTAAATAATACTATCAAAATATTAGTTAAAATGGTAAGAAATTTGATTAATGTTATCAAATTATTTAAATCTGATGTGATCAGTACAAGACATAAAAATAACCTCTAAATATTCTCTAAATTTTTTGGATCATAGTAAGTTTTTAGTTAGTACTTATTCTTCTTCTTTCTCTTGGTGTAGGCTTGACAGCCTGTTTGTAACTAATTAGCCTCCTGTAAGGTAGAAGTCCAGCTATCCATCCCCCTTGTGGGCGGTCGTCCTGGAGGTCTGTTGGTGCCCGGTATTCCTTCTTTGGATATTTTTACGATCCTGCTGGTATCCATTCTAGATATATGATCGTTCCAAGCACGTCTTCTTTCCCTCACCCATCTAACCACATCTTGGATTTCTAAAGATTTCCTTATATCAGAACTGCGGACACGATCTCGCAATGTAGAGCCATTAATATTACGTAGAATCGCCATTTCTGCAGTGCGTTTGTTAGTTTTGGTTCTACATGTTTCTGATGTTGTTTCTGCTGCATAAGTCATAATTGGTCTTACACATGTTTTGTAAATTTTGACTTTTGATGTGGGGTTCATGTACTTATTTTTCCATATAATATCTTTCAAACATCCGGACACTCTTGCTGCCTTGTTTACTTGTGCGCGGTTGTCTGCTTCACGGTTTTGGTTTGAAGATATTTCCACTCCAAGATATCTGAAGGACATAACTTGTTCTATTATAATGTCGTTGATGGCTAATTTACATCTGATGGGATCTTTCGATACTACGAGTGATTTTGTTTTTTCCGTTGAGATCACCATGTTGTACTTTTTAGCAGATAAATAAAACCGATGTAATAATCTTTGTAGCTCATCTTCGTTTTCGGATATCAATACAGCGTCATCAGCGTAACATAATATTTTGATTTCACCTTTGTTTGTTCTGAAACCATGACCTGCGTTTTTTATGTTTGTAATGGACTCAAAGAATCCCCTTGTCTAATTCCTGCCGAGTTGTTGTGTTCATGTTTAGTTCCTCGATGATTTTAATGATGTTTGGAGGTATGTTCTTGTTGTTCAGAATCTTCACAATATCCCCTAGCTTAACTCGGTCGAATGCCTTTGTTAAGTCAACGAAACACATGAAAGCTGGTTTTTCAAACTCTATAGATTTTTCAACAATTTGACGTACAACAAATATCGCATCGATTGTGGACCTGCTTTTACGGAAGCCTTGTTGTTCTTCGCTCAATGAAATTCTTTCGGTTAGAAGTTTCTCGAGAATTTTCGTAAATAATTTCATCACTGCGCTGAGTAAAGTTATTCCCCTGTAGTTTTCCTATACGTTTTTGTTCCCCTTTTTGAAAATGGGTATAGAGATACTTTTCCTCCAGTCGTTCGGTACTATTCCATGGTTAATGACGTTTTGGAATAGTAAAGTCAATTGTTCGTATAGGTATTCGCCACCATATTTTATTAACTCATTATAGATGCCATCGTGTCCGGCTGCCTTACGATTTTTCAAATTTTGACTGCCTGTGTCACGATTTCAACACTAATTGGTGTGTCTGTACCTCTAGGAAGAATAGTTTCAGCTACATATTGTTCCATGTCATTATATAAACTGTGGAAATATTTTTCCCATTCTTGCGTGGATATACTTTGTGTTTGTGTGTATTCATTTACTTCTCGCTTCTGACGTCTGAGCATTTTCCAGACCTTTTTTTGGGAGCCGTATAAGTCTCTTTCCATGTCTGCAGTGAATGCTGCCCAGTAACTTTCTTTTATTTTTCGAATGCTACTATTCACACGATTTCTTGTTTCCCTGTATTGTTGGTAATTTTCAGGTATACGATTGCTGACGTAGTTAATAAAGGCTACACGTTTTTCCTTTGCTAAACTCTTAACTTCTGCATTGTACCATGGTGTGTTTTTTAATTTAGCATTCGAGTTTACAGTTCTTGTGCCTAGAGCTTCATTGGCCGCGTTTATTATGTTATTCTTTATTTTTTCCCAACTTGATTCTACGTTGTCATCGATGTTAATTATGTTCGTGTTGATTTTGTTTGCCAGTCTAAAATATTAAATTTTTAGTTAACCTACCTAGAAAAACATATATTTGGCTTCTTAACAGAGATTCACTTTATGCTGTCTGGATTCTCTGCAATGCTCTCCAGATATTTCCGGCAGCAAACAGAATTCAAATATTAAATTTTAATAAATTCCATCAATTAGTTCGTTAGATATGATAAAAAAATAAAAAATTAGCCGCTAGTTGGGTTTCCGATCTCTGATATTCCCAAAAAATTTACAAGATCCTTGTTCTAACACCCTGAGTTTAAATACTATATATTTTATAATTTTCGCAAAAAATGTAAATTTGTCCCGTAGTAAAAGGAAAACTGTGATTTCTGGCAGAGTTGCTGACACTTGATTTCTTCCAAAAGCAAAAATGTGGTTTCTAGTACTTCCTGAAAAATAGTCAAAAACGTAAAATCGAGTCGTATTAAAGATTCAGTTCCCGAGACCTGACATATCCCATACAAGTTGATCAAAGCGCTTTACTTCCAAACTAAATCCAAATATAAATTTTAATCAAAATCGGCTCAGCCGAACTTGAGGCACTGATATGCACAGACAAACCAATAAAAATAGTTTATTTACGCTTCCGTAACATGAAGAAATGCAATTCCGTCGAAAACTTGACATGCAAAATTTGGTTACATCACATAACCTCCCTTATTGTATGAAATGCTATCGGTTATAGATTGCGTATTTCCAAATTATCTAGATAATGGCAATAACAATCAAAATTTGCATACAATTTATCATGTATTGTTAAAAAATTACTTGAGATATAAGAATATTTTAATTATACATAATTTTTTTATAATACCTACATTAAAATACCAGCGCTCTTTCCACTATTGTTTATAATGCTCTTTCCATTAAAACAACCGACGTGCCATACTGAGGAATTTATAATTTTTTGTGTATAATTCTAGATAAAGCTTCGATAATGCGTGTTTAATTCAAATTTTTTAATGCGTATATAAGTGCGATTGAGTCTAAACAATACCGTATTTGCATTTCAAATACTTAAGTGAATAGAATAATAAATCAAAGAGAGCTAATATTTATGGAATATGGCAGACTTCTCGATCAAATTTTCTACTTTCTTTTTAAGCATTTTAGGTAAACAAAATATTTATATTAAATTTTTAATAATATAGCTAATTTGTTTTATAGCCATTGCGAAAATGCAATCATTTGCAATTCCTCCAGAATGTGCTTTTCCATGTGCAAATATTTATAATCCCCTATGCACGTACAATGGTAGATGTTATCAAACATTTGGTAATAGTTGTGTACTAGCTTCGGCAAACTGTGCATTACCACCAGAATCACCAAGTATGTACAATATACTTAAATTTGAATTTATTTCGTATACCTACAAACAATATAAAATTTTTTAATTATTTTTTTTTATTTTATTAAATTCAATATAGAATATGAAGTTGTAGATTCAGTAGAATGTGAATATTTACCTTGCGCTTATTTTAAACTTTGTGTATGTGATTACGCGTGCTCGACAATCTATCAACCAGTTTGCGGTTATAATGGCTACTGTTATAAAACATTTTCGAATCAATGTAATTTTGACAATTTCAATTGCCGACATTCATATCAAAGTAAGAATGTTTTGAGCTATTTACCAAATTCGTTGATAATTAATTATTTTTTGTTTTTTTTTCATGAATATCTACCTACTTATATACTTAGATTTTGAATATCAGTCTGACGGAGAATGTATTGAGGATTCATTATGTCCATTCTAATAACACTTTGTAGATTCTGTATCAACTTTTCGTGATTCTGTTATATATATATGTTTAAATCTTAAAATGTGTAAAATATTTTTTGTTAATTGTTTTAATATGAGTTAGTGACTAATAATCATTTATTGTCTGACTCTTTCTTATAATTATATGTGGGACCATGTAACTGCTTAGCTTAGGTTTTCAAATAAAATATTTGCCGATTAGCAATAGCTAGTCACTTTTCTACACTGTCAACATATTATTGCATATTGTGTAAACTAAATTATTTCACGTGCTAAATAAAATTTATATTTTGCTACCAAAAAAAATGCTTACGTCGTATTTAAGCAACGTGCTTTATTAAATTTTTTAATATTTTTTTCTCATATTCAGATTCTCCGCGTTTAATAAGTGTAAATAAATATCTGTAAATTTATACATATGTACATATAAAGTAAGTATTTTGTGTCATAATCTATATTTTTAAAAAAAGAACCTCAAATACTTGTAAATGAGTCTTAGGCCAGAAAATCTACCAAAACAAATTATCATATTTTCAATGCAATTTTATAAGAAGGAAAATGACAATGTACTTGATCTTATACGTATCAATTTGTAAAAATTTCATGATAATTACCGTAAGAGCAAATATAACAGTTTGTAAACCCACCTGCACCAATATAAAATAATTTGTATACTACAATTTTTATTTGTACAAAACTTAATATAGCAAATAATTTCGAACAATTGAATTAAAGTTTGGAAACTTGAACTTATAAATACAACTGCATAATTATAATTTCATTTCAATGACAACGAATTAAGAAAATAATAATTATTATTGAATTCGGAAAATTTGGCTAAAGAATATCGAAATTTTTTCTTTATACAAAATGTTGAGATTTTCATATAAATTAGTAATTTTTCTGTTATTCAATGGACGTAAGTGTTTTTGAATGAAAATATTATTCATAATAATTTTAAATTATATTTTATTCAAATCCATATAGTTGTATTACCTAACGAAATACTTGGAGAAGGAGAAAATTGCCCTGAAGCTTGTACAGATATATATGCTCCGGTATGTGCATTTAATCATCAATGTTATAGAACATTTGGTAATGAATGTGAAGTTAAAGCAGAAAATTGTCGTTTATCTAAGAATGAAAAAAGTAAAAAATAATTTTTACCTGATTTATAACACATTTGATTTGATATATAATTGAATATTTTATTTATATTATGAATAGAATTTAAAATTGTGTCTGTGGGGGAATGTGAAAATCATCCATGCTTTTCTCAAAATATATGCGAATGCAATATGGCCTGCATATTGTTATATGATCCAATTTGTGCCTATAATGGTAATTGTTTTAAAACATTCTCAAATGGTTGTTTTCTAAATGCTCATAATTGCCAAAATCCGTATAACTGTAAGTTTTATAAATAATTTATTATATTGTTATATAAAATTTTATAATAATTACTTCATTATTTATTTTGAATTAGATTTTGTTGAACAATGCCATGGTGAATGCAATGCATTAAATTATCAACCAATATGTGAAAATTAAAAATTAGTACAACAATGTATGTAATTATAAATGTGATGTGTTTTTATAATAATTGTGTGTGAATAAATTGATAAATTATTAGTATGATTAATTATTAATTTAATATATAAAATTTTAATTGATTTTAATTTTAAATGGCGAATTATTTGATTTAATATATTATAACACAAATATTATAATATAAAATACAAATATAACAAATCAGTTAATCACAATTGGTAAATTTTTATAAATAACACTAGCTATGTATAACACTGGCCCGTACTATATAAAATCTAAATATTATTACTCGTTTTAATGAAAACTCAAATTAAACGACAGTCGACGTCGTATTGAAATGATCGATAATCAACCGATACTCGATTAATTTTTTAATGACATTTAAAAAAAAAAATTTTCTAACACCAATATAATACAATTTAATATATTTTATTAAAAAGATGACACTACAATAAATATACTCGTATATTAACAGGTATAAATAATATCTTTTGTGTGACCATTATTTCACAAGTAAAAAACGGGACAAAGGGATAATCAGACGAATACTTGAGTAATTTTTTTTCATTAAACGATAATATTTTTTGATGTCATACTCAATTGAGTATAATTTATTAATTTCTTAATTGGAACAACTTACAAAAAAAGAAATGTATACCAGTGAGTTAGATTTCTTTATTAAGTAGTAAATAATCTTTATACATTAATAGTGATAAATTTTTATGTACACACATACCAAGATAAAAATCGAGTTTATTGCTTTCATCGGCCAATTTCGAGTTATTAAAAAAAATTAATTGAAATATCTTTTACATCGATTTTACAAAAAAAACTTTAGTAATCTTGTAAAGTTATAGTTTCCGCAGAGGAAGCTAATTATACAAGTTTATAAAACATAAAGGAATGGAACAAATTATGAATGATTAATGAATGAATACTCAAGCTATCGAATATCATTAAAGGAGGCACATATGGTAACCTTATTAAATAAAACAAAATTTGTACAAATTGTTTATGTAAAAGAAGGCACGCAGTTAATTGTTTATTTGATTAAATGTTTTCGATTAACTGTATATTTTAAAAATACATAATGATGCTTGACATGTGTTTATATAATAAAATATAAGTACTAATTTTGACTATTTATATTATAAATATCAATGAATTTCAAAAAATTATATTAGTATTCATATTAAGTTAGGTGAAGCAAAATATATTTTATACCTGAAAAATAAATTTCACAATTTTTAGAAGTTTGTCAAAATGTTGAATATTTTTGTGAAAAAATTATGTTTTGTATTCATTCTAAGTAAGTTTTATTTTGAGTTGTTGTATTTTAAAGTGCCAAATTATAGTATTAACAAAGTTTCTTTAATCAAATTCATTTCGTAGGCCTTTTACTGGCAAAAATGGCAGAATCTGAACGTAGCCCAAATTGTTATGTTAAATGTGCAAATACATATGATCCAGTATGTGCTTATAATGGACATTGTTATCAAAAATTTGGTAATGCTTGTGCAGTTGCTACAGAAAATTGTCAAATACAAGAGGGAGCCCCAAGTAATATAGAAAAAATATTTTCTTTTTAAATTAGCATACTAAAATGAATTTTTCAACATCAGAATTTGAAGTAGTTTCAATGGAGTATTGCAACACTTATCCTCGTCTTCGTTACAAATGGTGTGATTGTCCTAGAAATTGCCCTAAAACAGAAATTCCCGTATGTGGTTTTGCAGGAGATTGTTACAAAAATTTTTCAAATGAGTGTGAGCTTAAAAAACAAAATTGCTATTTTCCATACGTGTGTAAGTTTAAATGAAAATAGATTTTGCCTGTGATTATAAAATTTTAATTTCTTTTTAATTTGCAGTTTTCGTGAAATCTTATGATGGTGAATGTGATCCTAATGCTGCTATGTGCCCTATGAAATAACACGTGTCATTGACATTTGATGAATTTTGATTATTTTAAATATGTTATACAATAATTGATATACACTACTCATCCTAAATGTATGCCATTTTTGAAATATATTCCTATATGAATGAAAGTAATTTTAATAATGTAGTACATAGGTAGATTGCTTTGTAAAGCAGTATTTTCACTTGTTGAAGGATAAAATGCTACATTAGAAACCATTGGTTCCACCCAACTTTGATTTATTAAGGATTTATCAATAAAAATTTATATACTAGCTATTTAAAGATTAAAATTTTATCGAATTTCATAAATAACAAGTTTTATAATATAATATTATAATAAATGGCAACGGATTTAATGTAATATAACAAATACAAATATAATAAATATAAAATAACAAATGTAACGAACTAAATCGTTACTATTGGCAAATTTTTATAAATCATACTAGCTTATTACACGCGCGCTTTATAAAATCTGAATAATATTTTTACTTGTTTTAATTCAAACGATAGTCGGCGCCGTATTAAAATAATCGATATCCAATCGATACTCGATTAATTTAATGACATTTTAAAAAATTTTTTTTCTAACACCAACATAAACTGAGTATCATTATATTTAATATAGTTACGGTAATTGTAGATTGTAGATTTTATAGAAAACTAGTGGGGCAGTAGAACCCTCCGAGCCACCGCAGCCATTCCTGACTTATTGTAGCCTCCTCATGCTCCCACCTATAATATCCCCGTCCCAAATATAAAGATGTAGGTATCCCCAAGGAATATATAAGGTTGAACAGCAGTTCCCGAACGCTTAAATAAAACCTGTCCAAAACAATTTCGACTCCGGACAGTTAGTGCCGGGTCGCAAAGGATGTGCATTGCATCCAGTTAATGGAATAAAACGGTTATTCTTCACTGGGTAGTGCCCCGGGGAGAAAATCGCAATAGCGCGAACCTGGTTCCTGTTCATCCAAACCACTCTGCGGCGAACCCTCCGGAGCATGCTAGAACAAACTACTTAGCATGGTGACACCCTTTCATGTCCTGGAGAAGAGGTCGCATTCCGCCGCGAGCAGGGGGGCAAGCCCGGATGGCAGAAGAAGGCAGACCACAGAAATGCAGCCGCTGCACAAAGTCAGCCCCAAATCCTTTCCGCGCCAGCCCATCGGCAATCACGTTGTCGATTACCGATGCCAATTTTACAAGTGCTGTAAGGCAGGTCCAGCACTTTGGGTCTAACCTGACCCCAATTTAGCGCCAACAATGTCAACCTGCTGTCCGAGAACACATAGATGGTAGGGTTTTCATACCCCTTTTCTGAATTGATTCTCAGACTGCATGTGTTTCGGCTTGAAACACCGCGCAAAAGGGATCCAGGATCGCATATGTACGCGTATCCGGGTGGACACCGTATACCCTCGAACCCACACCCGACTCCGTTTAAGAACCGATCCGACGTCCATCGATCGATCGTGAAACAGAACCCTGTACCTACAGTCGAAGTTGTACCGTGGCAAACTTTTGCCCTGCCCGGTCCACGCCAAAGGAAAGTCTGTAAGTCTTTCACTATGTAGAGGTGCAGTGGTGGCAACTCAATTATTACCTCCAATACAGCGATGGGAGCCGTCCACGTCGCTCCGGTCGCTTCCAGGCAGACCAACCTCTGCAGCTTTCTTCGCTTGACTCTCACACCAACTTGCTGAGCCTTACGGCACCATATAATCGACGAGTTATTTTATTAAAAAGATAAGTTTTAATATGCTGAACACTATAATAAATTATTGTCGACCGCATTGCGTACAATAAGGAATTTTACGTAACGGCACTAAATTTCGGATCTTTTTGATGTGCATACTTTGCGCCGTAGTAGAAAAGTGTCAATAAACTATTTTTAGAATGATGTCGGTCTGCCGGTCTGTGTATGCAAGTGTGTATGTCAAGCTTGTCTGAACCAACTTTGATGAAATTTTATAAGTAAGTTTATTTCGACTATGTCACAGACTGATCAACTTTTAGGGAATATCAGGCCTCGGGAACCGAACCTTTTTCCGGGATAATTTTACATATTTGCGCATATAAAGAGAAATAATTAACTTTGTTTAAATCGAGTTTAATATTTGAATTCGGGGTATTTAAAAAAAAGAAACCAATACTTTTTTTGGTTAGGTCATGGAAATCGAATCAGAGACCCAATTTACATTTTTTACTATATCTACGGAACTAATTAATAGAATTTCGAGATATTTAATATTGAGTTGTGAGCGAAACTCTACTAACAACCAAATTTACAACTTTTGTGGAACATTAATGCAAAAGCTTACTAGTGTGCTCAAAATTGTAAAAAAGTATTTAAAACGCATTATCATAATTTTTTGTAACACGTTCACTATGTTAGAAAATATATAATGGCGGTCGGTTATGTGTTGATCACATCAGATTTATTTGAAATTTTGTGTGACAATTATTTCACAATTAAAAAACAGGACAAAGAGAAATCTGATCACTATTTGAGTGAATTTTCCAACAAACGACAATTTTTAAATTATATTTAATGAGAAACTTAATTGAACTTATTGAAAATTGGAAAGCTTACAGCAAAGCCATAAGATTTTTTTTATTAAATAATGAATAACTTCGATGAGTTTTTGCAACCCCTTAAAATGTGTTATTAAAAAAGATCACCTTTTATTGTTTTGGCCGATGGTCAGGGCTAACTAATTATTTTTAAAAGTAAAAGTTTAAATAATGGAACAAATAAAAGAATATTGAAGATATCGAATAAATATTCAATATGAAAGGAAAAAAAAAGGAAGACGTCATCTAAAATTGGCACTAATAGCAAATTTATTTAACAAAGCAAAATTTATACAAATTTTTAATGTAAACAAAAAAGCGTGGTTTCTATTACTCTATTTGATTAAATGTTTTTGATTAACTATAGATTTTAAAGGTACATAATGAGATTTCACATGTGTTCATATAATAAAACATAAGTTCTAATTTTGACTATAAATATCAGTCAATTTAATCAAATTATATTAGTATTTACACTAAGTTAGATGAAGCAAAATATATTTTTTACCTAAATAATTTTTCTCAATTTTTAGAAGTTTGTCAAAATGTTGAACATTTTTGTGAAAAAATTGTGTTTTGCATTCATTTTATGTAAGTTTTAATTTGAGTTGTTCTATTATAAAATGGCGAATTATAGTATTAACAAAGTTTCTTTAATCACATTCATTTCATAGGCCTTTTATTGGCAAAAATGGCAGAATCCCAGGTTAATCCAGAGTTTTATGTTAAATGTCCAAATATATATGATCCAGTATGTGTTTACAATGGACATTGTTATCAAAAGTTTGGTAATACTTGTGCAGTTAATATAGAAAATCTTAAATTAAAAGAGGGAGCCCCAAGTAATATAAAAAAAAATTTTTTTTTTTTTTTTTTAAATTAGCATACTAAAATGAATTTTTTAACATTCATCTTCATTTATTTTTCAACATCAGAATTTGAAGAAGTTTCAATGGAGTATTGTGACACTTATCCTCGTCTTCTTTACAAATGGTGTGACTGTCCTAAATATTGTTCACCAACAGGAAGTCCAGTTTGTGGCTTTAAAGGAGATTGTTACAAAAGCTTTTCAAATGAGTGTGAGCTTAAAAAGCAAAACTGTAATTTTCCATACATGTGTAAGTTTAAATGGAAAAAAAATTTTATCTATCGTTATAAAATTTTAATTTCTCTTTAATTTTTAGTTTTCGTGAAGTCTCATGATATGGGATGTTATTCTCTTGACGACAGATGCCCTATGATTGACATTGAAATTTGATTAATTTAAATTTGTTATTCATAACGATACAATGGCATAAATCAAATACATTACGTACATACAAAATATATACATGTACGAGAATATATGTATATCTTGTTGTTGTTGTTATTTTATGATTATACACATTTTGTTTCAGAGGCTTCAAAGCGCTTCATATGAAATTTTGATATGCAATTAAAACAGTTTTATAAAGCTTATGTCAAAAATTTCATATTCATCAATTTCAAAATTTCTAACAAGTTATAAATAGTTTGTATTTCATAATATTTTAGTGTTGATTTTTGCACTTTTTCAAAAAAATTTTTGAAAGTGCTTGTTTAGTGCCAGCGTTTCAAAAACTTTTACACCCTTGAAGATAGAATGCTGAAATTTTATGTAAACATATATCTTTACAAATAATTTATTTCCGTAGAAAAAAAATTTTACTCCCCTCCCCCCACCCCTTTAAAACTCTAAATGTGCCATTTTTAATCTATTTTCAGTAAGTGGAACCAAAATCATTTTTGAAATTTTGATTAGCTTTTTCAATCACAGCATACCATACTAATTAAACTTAAAAAAAACAATATGGTCGTTATAATTTACAGTTATCTAAAATGCGTTTTTCTATATGACTGTATTATGGATTTGAAATTTGAATTTTTGGTACCTTATATTCCTGAAACAATTTCCTTATATTCCTGCAAGATTTGCCAAATTTTTATAATTTTAGAAACCTAACGGTAAATGCCAAGCCATTCAAATATATAATTATTTTTTTTTAACTCAGGCAATCAAGTCTTCTTGACTTCGAGGATTTTGTTAATGTCTCATTAAATTTTTTTTTGTTTCATCCTAAATGTATGCAATCTTTCAAATAGTTTCGCATATGAATGAAAGTAAATTTAATACTTCCATAAATTTCGTTTTTAAAAGCAGTATTTTCACGTGCTGAAAGCAACATTAAAGTGCTACATTACAAACCTTTGGCTTGATCTAACTTTATTTTTTGTATACGTATAGTAAATTTTTTGCGTCTTTGATAAAATGAGAGATAATTTGACAAGCAGAACACAAAAGCAGTTGTTTTTACTGGATTTCTAGAATTTTGTGATTGTCATGTAACTTTTTCAGACTTTTTATTTAACAAAAAGGAAAAAGTAGGTTGCATTTTAATTTTGAATAAAATTTAACTATAGAACTAGTATAAATACATTTACAGTTATATTATATGCTCTTATTTAATGTTTTAATTGTCAACATAAATTAATTAATGACATAATGATAATAATTTTATTATAACTGATGCATAAATAAATTCATAATAATAATTTTTAAGTAAATATGCTGATCCCTGATCAGTTTATGTATTTAATCAGCTGTTAATCTTATAATTAACCGTTAAA